ATATTACAAATAAAGCTGGTTGTGAAATGTACAGATATAAAATAGCAAGTGACAGGGATCTAAACCCATTAAAAGGGTTTTGGAAATTTGTTTCCCAAACCGCTACCTTCTCCTTGGGATTTGGTAATGGCTCTCATTGGATCTGCAGCCCAGAATTATTTCCTGAGGGTAGGTACCTATGAACCCTCTTTCAAGAAAAGACCAGACACTAATAAATAGAGCCATCACCCAGAATGCATGACACCTGGATTCAGTTGCTTGTCTGCCTGCCTGATTCATCTGCCATGAGAGTACCCTAATCACCAGGCTAGTGTTGTATTAACACAATTATACAGTTTCCGAGCTAATGCACAGGGTCTTTCTGTAAGACACTCATACCACATAAGATTGCCATTTGTTTGGGATTTATTGAGTCTAGCTCTTAGAAAGCAAAGAAGACTATTCTCTCATATCTTCTTTCCCCCCCAGACCCATAACAGGCATCTGGTAGGTATGGAACAAGGAGTGTGTTTGGGTCACTGTGGTCTCAAACCTTTTCTGGCTAGGTCAATGGTTCCCTTGGTCATGATTAAAGTGCCCATTCTTCATGTGACCTTAAAGGACAATTAACTTACAATTAGGGCCTTCATGGGGCACAAGTGTTTCTTAGACCATGCACTTATCCTCCAGTGAAGTCTGAGTATGACAAGTCTCCACTTGATGTTCTTCAGGTACCACTATCAGTCCAAATGAATGACATTTTGGTGGGATAATCACTGGAAATGAGCCTTTGGTATTTGTTATTACTTATTAGGCTTTGGATTGCACAGAAAATTAGTGTAGCCTTCTGCAAAAACAAAAGGCCTGGAAGATCACCAAAAATGCTTGTTTTTAAGCTCTTTGCTTCTCTTTTTAAGGATGAAATAGTCTTCAACAGAAAGGTGTTTTCAAGTGGGCTTTCTACCCATCCCAGCCCAATTTTCAGAAGTTTTAAGCCCCCATGTCACTCCTTGCCACTTAGCAGAGTTAGGAGCAATTGGCTTTTCCTAAGCACATCAAAGTTCAAGTTGCACTGGAAGGCATTTGTTTAGCACAAGTAAAACTTTGAAGAAGCCCCTTTGTACAAAGTAAATTCAGATAAACAAGAGATCTGCCTTCTCTTCCCCCACATCAAGATGAATATTCTACCCCGTGTGTAATTCAAGGAAAGGGGATCAAGAAGAAATAGCTGACGGGGAAAGCAGAGGTTGGTTTGTAACATATCTTCCTGAATGACAGAAGAATATTTTCTTCAAAATGCTTTTAAAAAGTTTTACTGGGAACAGTACAAAGTTCGGGGGTGCTCTGTATATAGTTCATCTTTGATCTAATAAGACATCCAGACAATTATTTTGAAGTTTTAAACAAGAGACAAGAAAGCCAGATTTGCAAAACACCAAATCTATATTTACATCCACATGTAATAACATAGTCAACTGAAGTGAAATACATCATAAATTAAATGAGTAATGTGTGTCTACTGCTTGACAACTTAAGGTTTCAACAATTAAAACAAAATGGAATGAAATAAATACATATAAAAAAAAAATCAACAACTTGTACCTCTATATATGCACTGTTATCTCCAAAGAAACATACAAAACCAGTAGTATCCCAATAGTTAATACTGATGGGCAAAAGTCTACTTTGAACTACAGGGCTGCAATTTCCATGATATGGAAAAGTCTCGATGGCATGTTGTTCTCCAATATGTTCCCAAGAGATCTGACGAAAGGCCAGAAAACTTTAGGAAATAAATTGTACCAGCAAGAAGGAAGATTCTTTAACAGTTTTGCAATTAGTTTTTACATTACTGCAGCCCTGTGCATGTCTTATCATATACCCCAGTAAGATGTATAGATGATAGTTACAGCATGCATTCTATAAGACTCATTGAAAGATCAGACAGAAAAAAATAGATTAACCATTTTCCAAGTGAGTTTATCTTCAAAAAAATAGGCTATAAAAGTGCAAAACTAGGGGGAAAAAATCTAGATTATGTACATATGGCTCAGCTTATGAACAGGAAAAAAGGTAAATAGTGTACAATTTCCTGATACACAGCACTTCATTACATTGCCAGTTTACAGAGACATTAAAATTAGGTCCCATTTAAATTACAGGAACTAAGACATACAACTAGAATGTCTCAAGTTGCATAATGGAAACACGAATTTCTGGGGTTGCTATTTTACATTTGCTATTTGAAGAAAAGAGCAAAATGAACAGTGCAAAATATTTTTTAAATTTTTTTTTTACTAAAATATACAGAAGTCAGAACCGGGTACAGAAGGAGCAAGTCTTTAACTGGAAGCTTTATGAAAACCAATAAGGAACATAATGTCAAAATATTCATTTCAGCTTTACTGGCTGGTAACTGGCCATCCTCCCTTTAAAAATGTAAATTGCATGTGCATTAGAGGAAAAAAAAAAAAAAAAAAATTTGCCTTCACAAAAAGGAGAAATATTCTCCCCATCAACAGACTATTCCTTAGTAAAATTTCAAACATCTCAGAGTTTGGGACTAAGATGTAAGCAACAGATACCAAGAAGCTTCCAAACACAGTCAATCAGGCCATAGCATAAGCTATCTCCCTTTTAAAAAAAAATAAAGAAAAAGAAAAGAAAAGGTGGAGGTGACAGCAGCTGTAGATCCTACCTGAAAGACTGTATTTGTTATTTTCTAGTCTGGACAAAAGGTGCAAAGATTCCCGCTCCCCCCCCTCCCC